CGGAAAAAGACACTTATACAAAAATCGTCAATACTTATGTAAGGACAACTAAAATAATTTAATTTGAAATTTCCAAACAAATTTTGTTTGCAAACTCGCGTGTGGCAAACTTTTGATCTTGTGTAATAAGCATTCCCATGTATATTTCTCATACGCAAAATATTTCCATTTTTATTGTTGAAACGCAGTATTGTGTATTCTTTTTCCTGGAAAGAATGAAATCAAACCAAATGACGGGAAAAAAAAACTAATGAGTAGATTTTTATAATAAAGCGACAAATCAGTATATACCCTTAAATCGCCAGAAAATTATTATTCTATCGGAAATGTTGAAGGTAGAAGGGACTGGCAGGCAAGATTTAGTGTAATCTAATAACGAAAAATTTGCCCTCCGAGCTACTGTATAATGAAATATGCTATATTCTAAATTGCTCCTTCGAGCTAATTATGCATGCTAGATAGTAGTTCATTGCTGAAAAAATTCAATATTATTAAATGAATTACAATTTGCTAAACGTAATCTAAATTTCAAGTAAAAAAAAAAAAAAAAAAAAAACTTAACTTAATATTTTAATCTGAAAGTGTCATTGAGTAAGAAGGGCAGGTTTTGTGAATGTTTTCATTCTTTAAAGGTAAGAAGATAAGAAACTTTAATCATTTCCTCACAATATGAAAATATTTAACTTTTTAACTAAAATTGTTACTTGTAAGATTTTTTTTTCCTGTGCGTTTCAGAAAGTAATCGTAAATATTTTATAGTTTGGCACTTCACTTATTTAGTAATGCATCTCTCACGATTGCGTGCCTGCTTTAAGATAAAGTAAATGTTTAAATATACCCTTTTTATGTGAATCGTTCCACAGCTGTAATTTTTATGCACATTTTATTGCAAATCATGATTTGATAGAATGACCCTCAAAATATGCTTATGAAAATGTTTTAGTGAGAAAAACTTTTCAATAAAAATTTTAATTTGTATTGGTGAAAACGAAAACTATTTTCTTTCTTAAATTTAGAATGTATTAAATAAAGTATCTTGCATCCATCAGAACTGATTCTCCAGTAATAACCTGCAAGTGTAAATTCTATAAATTCTATAATTACTTTTATAAATTAGGTTTGGTAATGTATTAAATCATGTATACATTAGAACAGTGTACTGAGGAATTATATGAGACAATATTAGAAAATCGTGAATAAGATAATCTTTATTTTTATGGTTATCTGAAAATATTTAAGAATTACTTCATCTTCTTTAACACTTAAATCGGCTTAGTTATTTTCCACTGTAGTCCTGGTGTGGTGTATTTAATTATGGCAAAGCACACTAGGGCTATCTGCCTAAGAGGAAGGGATGCCTTTCGTGGAGGACTTTTTAAGGGAAACTGGCTCGTATACACGTTACACATGGGGAAAACCACGAAAACACCCATGCAGCCAGCCCGTTCGCGGGATTCGAACCTCGGACCGAACTACCAGTGTTCAGCGACTTTACCGCTCGGCCGCTGGTGGACCTCCACTGTAGTCCTATAAAAGCTTCCTTGGTTCAATTCATAAATTCTCAAGTCATATTTTTAATGTAAATATAATAATAAATATTTTAGATTTCTTTTCGCTGTTTGGCTTCATTCAAGAACTCCCGCATTTAAATTATAAGATTTATAACGAGTAACTTTCACTTTACTATTCTTAGAGTAAACCACATTATGATTTAAAGAGATATTGATGTATAATGTTCCTCCTTTAATCATATTCAAAACAGAAAATACTCAGTTTTCATCAAACACTTATATCATATATTACCATTTATGCAAGAAAACTATTTTAGAACTTAAAAATTCAATTTAGAAACAAAACAGTTTCGTTTAAACATTGTGGTTTCCTTGATTTTTCATTATGTGTATATATTTTTAAAGATACAATTAAGAAATGTAGTTTTAGTCATCAACGCTTCTTTGACATGGGTGCATACTGTAAGTTAATATTTGAATCATCATACGTCACATGTTTATTTAGCTTAGATTTGCATATAACTAATTGTTTTAATTATTTCAAGATGCATGGCTTTGACAATGGGTTACTTAACTTCCGAACTGTAGTAATAGTTTTTGCGAGATGTTTTAATTAATTCCATGAACAAATGTCGTTTAATATACGATAACAATTTTTTAAAAATATGTAATTCAGAAGTTTTTAACATTTTGTAAACTTGCAGAGATTTTTAATGAAGTTCAAATTATTGTAAAAAGCTGATGTAGATTATTATTTATAGTAGAGTTTATAGTATTATTATTTATAGTATAGTATAGCTCACTGACTTGTATAATATATTTATTAATTATTAATATTACAAAGCTAGTATGATTGATTTAGTTAATTTATATTTAGATAACTTTATATCTTGCAGTAGTAACAGTAAACGCAATATAGGATAATAAAACGATGCTGTTTTTTCTTTATATCACATACATACATATTTTTTAAAAAATCATTAAAAATACTTATTTTTTCATTCATCTAAAAAACACATATTTTTCATACATTTCATTATTCTTTTCCAGAAAAAAGTATTAATCATAAAGTATTTTATGTAAAATGTTGTGCAAAAGATATACTATCTGTTAGTCTCTTGTGTTGATGTTTCGCAGATTTTCATTGCTACCTAATTTATCAAATTAGTAATAACGGGAAATTAAATGTACTTAGCGATACCGTATCTTTCTCTATTTTCTGTTATATTTTTTTCTTAATAGTTATACTTTTTCTCAGAAAAATTGTTTACCATATTTGAAATTTTACCGTTCATCTGCAAATGTGATAGATAGTTAAATATTTCTGCCACGTAGTTTGTGGAAGAGCAAATTTGTTCAGAAATTAACTTTTCTTCATTTGAAACTAGAGTTACAGGTGCTTAACAGTTTCCTTTCCTTTATTTAAAAAAATTACAGTTATGTTAATTTCCCTTTCTATGAAACTATAAATCCATTTAGACTGTATTATTTTAATAGAAGTTTTGTACCATCCTGAGGAGTGAGTTTTCTCCTTTTACTCTGCATCAGTCTGTGGGCTCCTTTCTTACATGGAATGTTTTGTTTTTATTTCTAGGAAGTACTGTATTTCCTGTAAGTGACGAAAAACACACCTTGATTAGTTTAAAGGAGGTTTGTTAAAACGATTTTTAAAATGTTTTGGTGCCAGTAATAAAATGGATTTTATTTCTCTTTTTTAAGTCTCTCTGTATATAAAGGAATATCTCTGTATATGTGTGTATAGAACCACATGTTATTTATAAAGCAACACTAATTTAGTTTGTTACAAACTTAACTATTTTGTAACTGGAAACTTATATCATTAGTAACAATATAAAGTATTTTTTATATCCCCCCTCAAAAAAAAGAAAGAAATCCTATTTGCTTTGTTCATGTTTTGCTTTTCTGAAATATTTACTACATCTGGAACATGCAGAATAATTCCATGAACGTCATAATCACTTCCTATTTGTAAAATGTCTTAATATATATATATATAATGCGCATTTGTAAAATGCTTTATAAAATTATATAACACTTTGCTTAGAATCACTGATATGTATTTGTCTTCGTCTATGTGTTGTTTATCTGGAAGTTGTACTGTAAATGAAGTAAATGTCTTTTCCTTTTCTAAATTGCATCTGTATCATCACATAGAAAGTGCATATAATAGATGTTAGATCTATAGTAATACAAATATTTTAAAATTATAGCTTTAAAAACAATATTTCCGAGAAATCATATAATCTTTTTTATGAAGGACCTTGAACTATGTGTATTTGATTTTGTAGATGTTTATTAATATATGTATTTGTTAGGAATACACCATGCCCTTATGAGATAGACATTTCTGCTAAGATCATGAACTATAAGTTTGTAACTATGTATTTTTTCGAGCAGTATGTATGAAGATTCTTTTCACGAGGAATGTATGGCTTAAGGTATAATTATAACATAAGACTCACATCTAGAAACAAGTTTACGATGTTTATGAGAAGTAAAAACAGGATGCGTAACTCCTTTAAATTACTCTACTTTTATTTAATATCAAGCTGAAGTTTCAGGATTTAAAAATAAAATATCTGTAAAAATATCGATATGAAATTAAAACTTAATTTTAAAAGTAAAACATTTAAAACTTTAAAATCATGTTTTGACGTGCATGTCACACTTTGACTTTGTCACTTTGTTTTGACATGCATGCCACACTTTTATAAAGTAGTAAGAGCTGGATGTTTTATAAAAATGGAAAGATCTGAGAACTTCTTTTCATTATTGCATTTACGACTACATTTTCAGAATATTAGAAACATGTCAGTAAAAGCAACAAACATGTAACTGGCTGCTATATTTCATTTTAATTCTTTGAAACACATAAATTTTACAGTATTATTTTTATGCGTTTGATATTTAAATATCTAAAAGTTCGCATGCAGTATGAATTATTAAAGGAATACACGTCAGAGCAAAAACTATCTGTATTTAACTATTATGTGAAGCTAGTTTATTTCCATTTTTCCCCCTTTCCTCCTCAAAAAACTACTCACACATTTCAAAATGTATTTTTTATGTTATTTTATTATTTTTGTTATTAAAACATTGAAGCAATCCAAGTTATTAAGAAACATATTTGTAATTTAGGCTCTTTGTGTAAGTCATGTGCTGCTGAAAGAATATTTTAGATGCCAGAAAATAGGAAATGATCATTAATGACAGTCTAAAAGCCTCTATATGTGAAACATTTTCGTTCATTTTAACCATGAATTTTTATCATTTCTCTCATAAAGTACTATTATGGTACTGTGTTTCTTTTTTGCTTCACTATATTTAACAAGAATTACATGAAGGACTTCATTAAAGTTGAAGAGGGAAAATTACCTTGTGAGTTTCTAATTCAATAAAAGGAAAGTAGACAATTTTTTCCTGAATTCTTTATTGCTGAAAATAGTGTACATTAATAACAGAAATAGAATCTCAATAAAAGTCTTCATGCATAATATTAGCAAATATGTTGCATTTCGTATTTGAGTACTACTTGCAATCTGTTTGATGAGATATCTTGAACATGCGAAGATAAGGAAAAGCAAGTGATTAAACTTGTCAAACAAGAGAAAAAATACATTTTTCTTAAAATATTGTAGACAAAAGTGAAAAATACTTTTTTCAAAAAAGAAATAGTGCAGACACATCAAACATAATTGGGTGGAAATGTTCGTACAACTTGCGTGAAAATGCTTTTAGTCAACATGCAAAGTAATGATTTTCATTTATTTATACCTCGATACTTTCAACGTGTAACTTCTTTTCTCAGTTGAGGTCACTAAATCCAGCGGAGAAAGAAATGCATTTAATTATAAACAATTCAAACATTTTAGTTATTAACATTTTAGTTATTAATATTTATAACTAAAATTAAACATTTTAGTTATTAATATTTATAACTAAAATTAAACATTTTAGTTATAAATATTTAGGAGCAACACAGTTTTTTATATGTGTCTATATCCATGTACATTTTATATGTGAAATTAGAAATGCACAAAGAATATTAAGTTTAAAATAATTAAATTAAAAAATATTGCAGAGTAATATATTAGTAGTAATGAAAAAGCTTTAACAACTGAATCCAGAAGCGGAAAGATACCAGGAGTATATGCGGAATAGAACAGAGAACTGGATCGGCCAAATAGGTAGGCCGTATATATATGCCATGTAATTTAATACAGAAATTTATAATTTAATTTTGCTACATACACGTTTTTTGCTCCCCATTCTAATAACTAGTAGAAAATTTTTTCTAATTTGCCCCTACAATAGCTCACCTTTTTATTTTTCTTAAACAAGTCCCTCTATTATTATCAAGCAATAAAAGTTACATAACTTATATTTTATTTATCTTTTAATGTGCTGTGTTGGCATATTGAAATATATTTTTAATTAATTTGCCTGATATAGGTTTCTAAGCCATTTTAATAATTCACAACAGAACAATTTAAATACAGTAGACTCCCGATTATCCGCGGGGCGGATTTTCCGCGCCTGCAAGTTTTGCAAGAAGTTGCAAGAAGCAAACACAAATGACCAATTTCTTCAAAAAGGTGTAGTTTTACAGTTATGCTTTTGTAAATTACATAATACATTACAGTATTGAAACAGTACATATGTATTAATTTTTCTGTGTATCCTTGACGCCTCTCGTAAGTACAAAGCACTTTTCTGTTTTCATTAACAAAATGCATTTTAGGTTAGTTTTGAGTGATATACTAAAATATTAAGCGTTCGTTAAACATTTCCTGCTGTTTATTTCACGTTTTTATTGTACAAAAAACGATTTTTCAAAGTTGGAATGACTGTTTTCTCTTGTACTATACCCGTTTTTAGCTTTTTTCGGATTATCCACGTTTTTTGTTATCCGCGCCACCCAATTCCGAGGATGATCGGGAGTGTACTGTAACTAAATTTCCAATAATTAAATTTCTAATAAATTTTAATTATTCCCTGAGGCTGCGTAATCACTAAAAGCTGATATATATGCATGTGCATTTTTTTTTTCCTAAAAAAGGGTGAAAAGACCAAAAAGTCAGATTTCTTTGAAAACATGAGTTGGATTACGTATTTAGTAATATGACCCATTTTTATTTGAGTAGTTTCTTATCACATTTTATATAAAAAAAAAAAAAAAAATAGATAGTTTGAGCAATGCACTTTGAGACTGTGATCCCTATTTATTAATTCGATATGCTGTTTGTTTTTTCAGAGTTATTAAAAATGCATTTCAGTACTATGGTTTTTGTTTGTAAAAGCATACGTCAAAGGTCTTAAATATGTAAGACCCGATATTGGGTATTCTCATTAATTAAGGATTTTGTCACGGATTTCCATTCCTTTGGGGCTTTTCATTTGCTGGACAGGACGATCTGTGACTATATTGCAAGAATGCAGGTGAAATTCTAGCTTAAGCTACGACTGGTGAAGGTATTTGAAAGTGATTTGTATCTTACACTTAAGCTTTTAAGAAGATGCGCTTAACCTTTTAATGGGCAATTTCAGAGCGCTACTTCTTTTGTTGATTGTTGAAGATTTGTTTTGAGACTTTACAAAGCTCTCATCTCCAATGGTTGAAATTGAAATTCTGCAATAGCAGATATTTGAAGAGAGCCGGTCTCTAACAAAGGCAAGCGTAGTGGACGCTGTAATGTGTGAGCGTGGGGTGGTGGCAGGGGCAATATTAAGTAGCCCCGAGCTGACGTCTCATTAACATAGTGCATCGGAATTTTTGCTCGCTCTCTGGTATTGATGTCCTCCTCCTTTACATCTCAAGATGCCTCAAAGATCTCAAGAGGCGTAGGAAGAAAGGTGTGGCCACCACGGGTGGGGGATCCTTCTCATTCGTAGCCGTAGACAGTGAAATGCAGTTTGAAATCCCACCCACTTTCCCTTCTTCAGCTTCGCCCCTGATTGGCTAGCAGCCATCGATCCTGCAAATTTCTCCCCCTGACTTCCACGCCCTGTGCCAAATCGAACAAAATTGTTTCTTTACGCCTCGTGTCACAGTGTTCTTTTCCGAAGAACTAGTTGCGGATGCCAAAGCATGGACATTGTTCAGTGCGAATAATTAGAGCATTTGCCGTTTGGGGGCCTGATAGTAATCCTATTGAATGACATAATTTTTCTAATGTCGCATTTCATTAGAAAGCTTATTAATCATGCAGGGCTTAGAAACAAGTAAATAAATGAAAACAAAATCCTAATTGTACGGAACGATCCAATGCCCTTTGGCAGTTAATAATCATGAAAATAATGCACAATAATAACATTGAAATAAATATCGCTATAATATTGCCATAAAACTTCATTATATATCTTTAAGAATGTATAGTTTGCAAATTTATAAATTACATTCATGAATTTCAGAATTTTAAAATAAAATTAAAGTGAAGAAACTTGCTTATCATATATTTGCTCACATTGATAGATAAATAGATGTGTTAAATTCGTAAAATTTATTCGCGATTAATAAATACATCGAACATTTATTTAAATAACGTCACATTTCCTATCTGCATCACTGGACAAAGAAATAATTGAGTTTATATCGTTAAGATAAAGCGGGTCTTCTAAGTAAGTAAATAGGATTAAAGCTGAACAAAATAATTTGCTCTAAAACGCGTCTGCCTATCATATAAAGCTGTGCATTTATAACAAACTTTATTGTATCACACGAAAACGTTTACAATGATTTAATTAATTCATTTCCTTTTTATTTCATAAACTCATTTGTCCTCCCGTTTAGGTGCTGACATTTTGAGTATCTTTCGTTGATGTTTATTTAAAATTATTACGCATCAGAAGTTAGAGTTTTATTAGGCAATAAATAAAAATCTGCTTAATACTGTACTTTTAACTGTCGGAAAAGAAAATAAATGTAAAGATTATTTTGAAGTTTTAATTTCTTTACTTAGATTAAATTTTTAGGGTTGCTTATTGTGAAATACTTTTACAAAAACTGAACAAAAATAATCAACTGGCAGAAGAAGTTTAAAATTAATATATTAGTTAAGAATATATTTTCAAACATACTGAAAGAATTTTAAAAAAAATTCTGTGATTTGTTTTTGAACAAAAATTTTTATTTATGAAAATTAATCATGTATATAAAGTGGGAACTTTATACGAAAATTGTTGAACATTTCACGCTCTGTTCTCTAGCTTCACCAGAAACAGTTTTCTTCCCCAGTAATCAGTAATTTAAACAGAACATTTACTGATTTATTCTGCATTTAAGATAATTCCACCGTCGAAACGCAGACGTTTAATGACTCTTGCATTCTGCTTAGAGATATATTTTATGCATATGTTTAGCTAAATACTAGCCAAAATAAAAATAATAATAATAAAAAAGAGTGTGTCAGACATTAAAAAAAGTTAAATTTATGAAAACAGGTAATTTTTTGCATACTGTAAAAGTACAACACTAACCCCCCCCGAAAAACTTTGTATAAAAAGGGAAAAGTGTTTTGAAATGTATCACCGGCTTCGAGTTTAAACAATTTTTATAAGTAATACTTTGATTTTGAATTAAAACATGCTGTCAAGTTTTTATGAAATGGGCATTTTAACTTGAGAGAACCCATAACTTTTAAGTAGTGGAAAATTCATCAATTAATGGAGATAAACAACAGATTTGTAACACATTTGGTAAATTTCCATTTTCTAACCTAGTCTTATTAATATAGGGTAAAGCAAGTAATTCAAAAGCATTTTTCCCCTACGCTAAGAAAATCATGTAATATGAATTTGATCGATGTTTCATTTAATGTTTCATTTAATTAAGTCAACTATGTTTCATTTAATGCTTATACATCTCACCGAGGAAGGAAAAATATTAAATCTTTTAATTTGTAAAAGTTGATATGTTTTGATATGTTTCTTTCCTATAAAATAAAATGTAACCTTTTACGTAGGTGAAATAAACTGCATCACATTTATTTATGAATTTCATCAAAACTCAGAGGCTTCTCAGAAAACCGACTTTGAATATTGATAAAACTGATCCAATTGACCAATTGACCTTCAAATATCCATCTCAGCTTCTTAAATAAGAGCGTGTTACTCAAGCACATATTTCTTAAATTACTTGTAACAGGTAGCGATTGGAAGTTTTTCCACAAAGTTTCCAAAAAAATATAAGCAATGAAAAAAATCCAAAGCAAGGAATTTTGGCTCGACCAAATAAAAAACAAATTCATACGCACATTGCTAACTTAAACAGTACAGCAAAATAATTCTGCAACCCTTTTCGATTTAAATTTTCGATTCGATATTTTAAGCAATCATTCCTTTAAAATAAAAAGAAAACCGTTCACTCATGCCACATGCAATGGAAGTAATGTGTTACATACTGAAAAGAGGTGTGTTGTCAATATAATTATTATTTGTCTTCTTGTATATTACTGAAAATAATCATATACTTTCAGGATGATATATAAAATGGAATAACTGATGACTATGACTTTTGTAACTCTTGGCAATATGCACTGTTCTGTCTTTCTCAAAGGGAATTTTTTGAAGAAAAACAGTGAAATTAGCATTTCTTCAAGTATTCTTGAAACATCTGCAGACTTATAACACAGTTCTGAAGATGTAAACTTTTTTTTTATAAAATCGAGAACTGTAAAGGAACTGCTTTAAATAGGGGCTTATATTTCATGTTTAACATTAGGAAAACACACAAATTTATTGCTCAACAACAGCATAAGCGTTTATAGTGAAAAATGGGTATAACGATGTAGGGCATTTTCTCCCTTCTCGGCGCGTGCCGTTGTGGTGTAATTAGATAGCAGGTCTGGTTAGCGGTCAAAAGGTCCGAAGTTCGAATCCGGGCGAGAGCACTATACATTCTTTATGTTTCATGCTTCTATACACCTAACGATAAGCGGCGACCGATCTAAAAGGTGGAGGACAATAATTCGTCATTACCATAATTTGGTGAGTGGGCCCCCTCATCCCTACTCGCCTTTTAAAGGGGGGTATGTAAGGTATTTTCTCCCTCCTTACCGCGTGCCTTCATGATGTAATTGGCAAGCATGTCTGGATGGCAATCGGAAGGTCTGGAGTATGAATCCCGGTGAAACCCTTGCACATTTTACATATTTTCCTCCTCTTCAACAAACCTAACGACTCTGCAGTCATATAATAATAAATCTATGTAACACAATAAAAGACATGTTCACTCTTTACTTAATAAAATTAATTAACCTTTTACCTGACTTTGAAGCCAGCTTTCCATAAAAAGTCCCTTACGAAGACATCCCTCTCCTTGGGCAAATAGCTGTCGTGTGCATTGTGGTATCTAAATGATCAATACATCCTTACTTTAAATTCTTTAAGTATTGATCGACAATAAAGATGCATTAAACATAAAAAAAGTGAGATTAGAATTTTAAAAAATCTCTAAGGTTAGCAACAATATTTAACATTTTCCCCACCTTTTTAATTGTGAAATGATAAAGAATGATAATGACACGTTCCTTTGTTTCCAATTATAATATGTTGCACATATAACATATTTCTTCATTAATATATGTTTAACAAACGAACTCCAGTTTTCTGTTTTAAGAATTGTAAATAATAACATTTTATAGATATAACGAAAAATTTTGTTAAATATTGTTAATAGTTTACAAAATGTAAAGATAATTAAAATATCTACATTAATTACAGGCTAATTTCAAATTGTTAATTGATTTTCATTCTATCACAGAAATTTCTTGTGTTTCCTAATAATGCCAAAAGATCTGTCAAAAGTATTTGATTTTACGAAATGTGTGTGTTATTATGGCAAAGCCTCAAGGGCTATCTTCCTAAGGGAAGGGATGCCTTTGTGGGGGGACTTTCTAAGGGAAACTGGCTCGTATACACGTTACACATGGGGAAAACCACGAAAACGCCCATGCAGCCAGCCCGTTCGCGGGATTCGAACCTGGGACCGAACTACACCGAACTACCAGCGTTTAGCGACTTTTACCGCTCGGCCGCTGGTGGGCTTGATTTTTACAGAATGATTATTGATTTAATTACAGGATATCATTTTACGAGGACGGAGTTTTAAAAATATGGTCCTCAACATCTGCCTTCTAATAAAATGCTGTCTTTCTTATTCACTGTACATGCTTCTTAAGAAAAATGAATTCCGTGTAAAATTATGCCTCTTCATAGACTTATTTGCTATGAAATCACATTTTGAGATTTTAAAATTATTTCCCATTCTCATGTTTCCCACACGCCCACATATTTCATTACGTCATAAAAGATATTCCTTACTTAAGATAAACGAAAGGACAACTGATGAGTACCAGGAGATCTGGGGTTGGTCAAGCAACCAATTTCATCATTCTTCCTCTTTATCCTGTTTGAATAATTTATTTCGTTTAACATTCCTATTGTGTTTACCGTACCGAAATTTCTATCACTGAAGCTTGTTAAACTTTCGTGCAAAATAAATTCCTTATTCTCAATTGCAACTTTGTTTATATTTAACCTTCATTCTTAGATCCTTTGAGCAAACGGTTCTAATTACGTGACGGTCTATTTCCAAATTGCTTTCTGCATAACAAATGGAGATGTTGCAATATTCGCAACGTTAAATATTAACAGCCTGGAAATTTTCCAGGTACATTTTTAAGCGCGCACACACACACACACATATATATATATACGGTTTAAAATGTTGCAGCATTGTTCAAAGTAAGCAAACTATTTTAGTTTGATACTCTGTGGTAAGCTTGAAATTCATTAGACAAATATACAGTAAATTGTTATTATTATTACTTAAATCAAAGCTTTGACAATTATGCAACAAAATTCAATTCAAACTTCAAGAGTTTTCCCTAGTTCTAATGTGAATACTAAGATAATGGTTAAAACCAAAAACGTGATAAAAATTACAGAAAGAATGAACTTACTTTGAAATGGTGATACAAGAAACGTGGCTTAAAATAAGTTTTCTGAAACCAAGAGCAGTTTCTCCACATCTGAATGATCGACTTCAGTTCCCCTTCAAGTTCGAATTCATCCGGTTTCGAAACAGCTGCTACCCTAAAACACATCCTCCTGACCCAGTTTGCCACTGCCATATTTCCCCGGCACATTTTTTTTTTTTTTTTTACTTCGGCTTTGAAATAAGTGAGACAAAATGTTAAAAAAAAAAATCTCGCTTCTGGTTGCAAACATCTTGTGAGAAACGAGGAAGCAAATATGCTCATGTAACTAGAAAATATCCTTTGTAGTCTAAAATACATTGGGGGGGGAGAAGTCTTATTCACAGATTAGCATATCTTAGTTACATCCTGGCACCTATTTCCTTTGCCCTATTAAGAATCAAGGTAAGATATTTTCTTGGGAAACCCAAATTATACTTTTACGGGTGAATTCTTAAAAATAAGTAGATCAAGAATAGTAATGAAATTTACTTTGTTTCCAAGCGCTTTGTGAACCCTTCCCTAGGTCTCACATACTTTTCATTTTAACTTTTATGTTGAAATTTATACAAAAATATTTAAGTAATTAGAGTTTTTTGCGGGGTTAAGAAAGGAGAGTTTAATTTTGAGTTAATGAGTTTGCCCATTGAAAAGAAAGAATAGAAAAATTCAGTGCTTAAATTTCAAAAAGAAATGTAGAGTTTTGTCTTTATTAAAACTGAACGTTACGTAAAAAAATTTAATTTTAATGCGAGGCTATTTATCTCACGTAAAAAGATTATTATGGTGCTCCTTGTAAAAAATCCTCGAAATAGAATCTGGGAAGTCTCCCTTCTGTATTTATTGGTTGATATATAAGATCTATTCCAATAATCTTAGGTAAGAAGGCATAAATAATTATTCCAATGTACTAATTTATTTAAACGGAAAATTGATACTACAGATGGAGAGGTTTTAAAATTTGTGTTGTTTTTCATATTACATATTCCGAGGATTGAAGAAATTTCGTAATTCTTACATGGTTGTTAAAATAATGAAAACAATTTCGAACTTTCCTACTAAAATCCTGTTTAAATATTAAGAAGGCTTTTAAAAAGATTTAGATTATTCTTGGTCTTGTCATATGGTATAGTAGATTAAGAAAAGTGGCTGAACGAGCTACTACATATTATCTTTATATAGTCAAAATATACCTGAATAAAATGTACATGACCAGAGAGTAAAGCTAAATTTTTAGTTTGTGCGCATCCAATACATTACTAAGGAGCCATTTTTTATTTATTTTTTACCACAAAACACAAATCTAGATACATATATACTTGCATGCACATGAACTTTATATATTTATATCGGTATTTCTATTATTATTTTGCCAGTTACTAAATTAAAGTAAAGTTAAATCAGATTTGAAAGTTATTACTTTCATGTATAAAAGCTGTAATGTAATTATTCATTATAATATGTAGTTAAAGTGTGATACCTGAAAACTAAATGAAAGAACTATCTGCAAAATCTGATCCACTAGACTACGATATTTAAACTGTAAAGCAAAATAAAATGAAAAAAAAAAAAAAAAAAAAAAAAAAAATGGCCAGATTGAAGCGCAGAATTTTTTAGTTGCTACACAAGAAATTTATTTATATCCGAAGTGGATAATTAATTAAAAATTAAAAATGTTTTTAAGATAAGTCCGTTGTTCAGACTCCTGATTAACTTTCTACCTACGAGTAGTTCAAAGAATTAATCAACGTAGTTACAGTCAGTAATGAAGCTAGCGTTTTTTGCAGTGCTTGGAAAGAAAGCGGTGTTATTATTATAACCCATCAATTTAAAAACAGGAAAATTTCAAACTATGCGTATGAAAGAAGAATAAGCTGCTCATTCACATTCTCAGATAAAATTCTGCGAAAATATTATTATACTTTTGCTAAAGTTATTTCAGAAACTACAGTATGCATCGTTATTAGATCAATTTACCGAAGTTAAAACTGAAACGATAATTGATCACTGCGCAAATCTGAGAATACAGATAATTTCTTTTATATTATATAGAAAAATGATTAGAATTCATTTCATATACTTAAAGGTAATCACATTTATAACTTGATTTGCTCGGCTAGTGGCGGAGTGGTTGAGACCGCTAAGTTTTAGTAGTTCGATCCCACGTAAACAGGTTAGCTGTGTGGTCGGTTTTTGTTGATTTCCCCATGTTTAACGGGAATATGATCCAGTTTACTTTATAAAGACCTCAACGAAGGCATCCTGCTTCTTAGGCAGACAGCCCTCCAGTGCTTTGCCCCTCACAGATAACATAGTCCTCTTGTGCTTTGCCCCTCACAAATAACACAGTCGTCCTGTGCTTTGCATCTCACAAATAACTTAATGCATTTTATAATATAAATTGAGGAGAAAGAATGTGTATAGACTATTCAGAGAAAAAGAGGTCTTACTTTTATAACTAAAGTTTTAGTTTAAAGATAGTTTAAAGATAGATATTCTTTCCTGATTGTTACAGAACTTCTGAGAAGCTCTATATAGAATTCACCACGGTTATTATGCACAATAAGGAGTTCTTTGCGTAGTTGTTAACACAGTCTGTACAGTCATCTATTAATCTTTCTAATGAAATGAACTGTTAATTAATGAAAGGACTGTCAGAGGATATAGATGACAACTCCTTTTTAAAGATATCGTTATAATAGTGCGCTTTCAATTCAGATAATTAGTACATTTCAAGAATTAAGCTCTCATGTTAACGAATTTGTTTAACTTATGACTTTGTAGTTAGTTATTACTAATTGTTACTTACTAGCTAGTTACTATTACACTAGTTTTTAAGACTTTATAGCTAGTTAAAAACATAAATATAAAAATATAGAATGACAAGTGTTCTTGCAATTAAAATGAAATAATTTTGAGCTATTTCGAGGTAAATTGCACGCTTATCCCAGATTAAAAAAGTTAGTCAATTTATGTAGCCGTATACTGATTACATGCTCATATGACTCTAAAAACTCTAAAATCCTGCGAAAACTGCCTACAAAGAGCGAAACAATTCTATAAAAGAAACGGTCAACGATCTTAAAGGCAATTAACCCATCCAAGAAAATTTGCTGTTAGAGTCAAATTAGCTTGGAAAATTATCATTGCTTAGCTAACTAAACAAAAAAGGGAAACCAAAATCCCTTCCACCACCCAAGAATAGAAATGTTTCTGAAGAAACAGTAAAGCTGGATCCTGATCGTGCAACATTTACATCTATGAATTATGTTGAAAATCATAAAACGGGCCATAACCATATTATGTGAGAGACAGTATACTTACTTCATCATATCAGTGAACAAAACTGATAGGTAAAACAGGAATTCTATCTTCTGAAATTGTTTAAAATATTCAATAGACTTGTAAGTACTGCTTATTATTACTTTCTAAAGTAATTCTAATTGCCTTTTTTCTCAAATTTTTTATTTGTGTACTGATACTGAAGAACAAATCTTGCTGAGAAATCTTAAATAAATAAATATATATATATATATTTTAATCATTTGTGAATTACTCCAAATAACATAGGGCAACACTTTGAATTAAAAAAAAAGACTTGACAATTACATTTAAGCTTTAAAAAAATTTTTTAAACCAGGTTTTGGTAAACAGATGTCTTTTTATCCAAGGCAAGGCGGGCTTTTCACATAAGACAAAATTTAAAATTACAGCACATTATTTTTATTAGATGATACATTGCAGTACCAGAAGTACAGTTTGGTTCTGGTAGTGCAATGTATCATCTAATAAAGATACTTTTGAGTAGTCATCACTTTTTCGCCTTCAATATTCAATTATCATTTCTCTTAAAATCCGATTTGGTCGTATTTAGCATTACCAGAAGAATGCACAACACTACTGTATGAGAGGGGGGGAAGAATAAATAAAAATAAACAGAACAGGGAGAGCATTTTTGTTTAAGAGCTTGTTTTTAAAAAACCTAATTTACCAAAACAGAAAGAGCATTTTTGTTTATGAGCTTGTTCTTAGGAAACCTAATTTACCATTCAATGATTTAAATAGTATAATTAAATAAATAAAACGCAGTTAACAGCTAGGGACGTAACCAGCTTTTTTGGCGAACTTATCAAATTCTTTTTTGCTCACTCATGAGGGAAAAAGTATTTAAGGCACATACTACATAAGGATCAAAAAGTATTTAGGCAAAATTAAATTTTGCATGACATTGTTACAAGTTTAATTTTCTAACTCTGTCATTAAGTCTTTGAGAAATCTTCTTATCTCTGTTATTAAACTCAAATCAAATTGTGACTACTGCACATAATTTAGAACATATGAAGCATTTAATGCTCTCTTTGAAATTTTTGTTTATGCGCCTCTGCATAAAACAAAAATTTAAAACCTTGTCCACGCAGCATTTGCAAATTTAATTTTCTTTCATTTTATGAAGTATTTAGTATGTTTATTTACACGTTACAGATTTATGTGCTTTGTATTCTGTCGAATGTTTCAAGCCCAGAAAAAGACTCCTCATGAGTCTCATGAGTAGTCATCACTTTTTCGCCTTCAATATTCAATTATCATTTCTCTTAAAATCCGATTTGGTCGTATTTAGCATTACCAGAAGAATGCACAACACTACTGTATGAGAGGGGGGGGGAAGAAACACCCTATATGGTAAACAAAAACCTTCTATTCCTTTCAGTTCACACACCTCTTAAAATTTCAAAAATGAGTCTGAATTAAAAAAATAATTACTTCAAATGTAAAAAAGAACACCCTGTTAAACCATTGTTAATATAAAATATTGATTTACTTCTTAAAATTAAGATTTGAGAAAAAAAAAAAAAAAAAAAAAAAAAAACAACCTCTTCCAAAAACGAGGCAATAAAAAAATAAGAATGAAGATAACATTCATAACTTCAGCAGACAAATCCATTTTTAATATAATGTCACAATCTCTTATTTTATCAACATGCTTAGCCATGAATGATTTTGAAAGCGTTTGATATTTGAAACATCAATCCAGTCTACATCTGTCAAGTAT